CGGCGGCGGCGGCGGCGCGGGGCTTGTCCCGGGCTGGGCTCCGAGGTGAGGCGGTGCCCAGGGCAGAGCCCCCGGAGGAGGAGGGCGGAGTGGGGCCGTCCGCGGGGGGAGGCAGGCCCGGGGTGAGGGCGTAGTGGGGCAGTCGCCCTTCCCCTCCCCTCCCCTTCCCTCCGCTTTATTCCTGTCAGACCACCTGGCTGGGAGGCCCCGCAGCCCCCCTGGCTCAGGGTCATTCCCCGACTCCTGCTCCTCTGCGCAGGTGCATCCGCTCCTCTCTTTTCGGTGTCGGTGCGCCCCTGGCCCCGCTCAGACTGCCCTTTCTTTGGCTTCTCGTGGGCCCCTCCTGGCAGCGCTTCTCTTTTCTGTCGCGGCCGAGCACAAGCTGTCAGCGCAAACTCGGATGTTAAACTGACTGGCCAGGGAGCCCCGGGGTTGCTGCCCGGATGCTTGTGGTGTGAGCTGGTAAAAAACTAGGATTCCAGACTAGCCTAGGGAGTGGATGAGTGATAAAAAGGATTTATTTACTACAAGTATTCAAAGTCAAATGAACCCAAACCCAAACAAAGTCCAGTAATTAGCTATAAGGTGATGATTTCTCACCAAATAGATGACAAGAGAGACGGTCTGTTTCTTCCGGCTTCTGGAGATAGCTGGGGTGCAGCAGCAGTTCTTGTTAGAGAGATCTTTCATTCCTGAAGTGCCCGCCGTTAGCTGTTTTCACTTGGTTCTTATACTCTTAGTCCAGCATCTTCAAAGCATTCTTTTGGTTGTGTAAATCAAGAGAGTCCTAAGCAGTAATTGACAGGAAAATCCTGTTAATCAAACTGCTTGTTATTGGTTATCAGAAAGTTCCAGTTTGAATGAATGACCTTTCTCAGTGATGAGAGATCAATTTCTGCTAAGTTTGGAACATATCAAGAAACTGATTAACACCCAGAAAAAACACAAGGTTTTTGGGAGCGTCTTTGAAAAATTAAGGGAACCACTAGACAAAACAGAAATAAATCAAAAGACAACATCTATCATATATGGAGAATGACTCCTCCTGTACAAAACATGAGTTAATTGCAAGAGAAATATTTACCATATTAATTTAATCAAGGATAGACCTTTCACATGGTTACATGCCAGACAACTAGGAGTCTGCTTGAAATCACCATGAATATAGTAAGGTAAGCTGGAAGGGATACCTCATTATTGCTTCCCAGATGGCATTGCCATGAACTCGCGTCCTCTTGCACTACGCAGTTAGCATCAGTATTTTGTATTTTAACTTTGTGTGTAGGCCCCAGTTTAGCATAAGTTTCAGAGTTATCAGTGGGGGCCAGATTTGGTTTCACAAATCTGAACAAGAGACACGATGGAGGGACTGGATGTGTTCAAATCAGCAGATTCCGACAATCTCCACCTCAGAGTGCTGAGGGAACTTGCAGAGGTCATTGCGGGACCCCTGGCACAGCTTTACGAGCACTTATGGTGCTCTGGTGAGGTGTCAGAGGACTGGAAAAGGGCCAGTGTGGGCCTCCTTTTCAAAAAAGGGAGGAAAGAGGACCCAGGAAACTATAGGCCTGTTAGTCTTACCTCAGTCTTGGAGAAGCTCTTTGAGAAAATTATCCAGGAGCACATCTGCAAGGGACCAGCAAGAGCGATTATGCTTAGCGGCAATCAACATGGGTTCATTAGAGGCAGGTCCTGCCACACCAACCTGGTGGCCTTCTACAACCAGGTCACAAAAGCTGTGGACGCAGGTGTCGTGGTGAACGTAGTCTTTCTGGACTTTAGGAAGGCCTTTGACACTCTCTCTCACACCAGCCTCATTTAAAAAATTAGGCGACTGTGGTGTTGATGCCTACACAGTCAGATGGGTTGCAAATTGGCTGGAGAGCCACACCCAGAGAGTGGTGGTGGATGGGTCATTTTCGACCTGTAGAGACATTGGCAGTGGGGTTCCCCAGGGCTTGGTCCTCGGGCCTGCACTATTCAATATCTTCATCGGCAACTTGGACGAGGGGGGTGAAAAGCACCTTGTTCAAGTTCGCAGATGACACCAAGATGTGGTGAGAAGTGAGTACGCTAGAAGAGGGGGACAGGCTACAACTAGATTTGGACATATTACAGAGGTGGGCGAATGAGAATAGGATGGGTTTCAATATGGACAAGTACAAAGTGTTGCACCTGGGGAGGAAGAACCAGCAGTATACCTACAGGCTGGGGAACTCTCTTGTCGTCAGCACAGAGGCAGAAAAGGATCTTGGAGTCATTATTGATTCCATGATGAACATGGGCTGCCAATGTGGGGATGCAGTCAGGAAGGCTAACCACACCTTGTCATGCATCCACAGATGCATCACGAGCAGGTCCAAGGAGGTGATCCTCCCCCTCTATGCGACATTGGTCAGGCCGCAGTTGGAGTACTGCGTCCAGTTCTGGGCGCTGCACTTCAGGAGGGATGTGGATAGCGTAGAGAGGGTCCCGAGGGGGCCTACTTGCATGATCAGGGGCAGCAGGGTAGGCCCTATGAGGAGAAACTACAGGACCTGAACCTGTTCAGACTACACAAAAGAAGCCTTAGGGGGGGATCTGGTGGCCACCTGCAAACTTGCCAAGGGGGACCAGCAGGCAATGGGAGAGTCCCTGTTCCCCCAAGCACTACTGGGAGTTGTAAGGAATACCGGCCATAAGCTGGCTGAGAGTAGGTTCAGACTAGACATCAGGAGGCACTATTTCACAGTCAGGGTGGCTAGGAGCTGGAACCAACTTCCTAGAGAAGTGGTGCTTGCCCCCACCCTGGGGATCTTCAGAAGGAGGCTAGACAGTCACCTAGCCAGGGTCATTTGACCCCAGCATTCTTTCCTGCCCATGTTTGACCCCAGCATTCTTTCCTGTCCATGGCAGGGGGTCAGACTTGATGACCTGCTTGGGTCCCTTCTGACCCTACCAACTATGAAATTATGATACCAGCCAGGCTAACGGTTGGGGTCTTCTCATGATTTTTTGCCTCCTGTGTTGTTTTTTTTTGTTTGTTTTTTTTTTAATGTTTGATCCATCATCTAGCAACTCAGTACATTCTCAGCTGTGCTGGTTTTTGCTTTGATCTTAAACACAACAATATGATACTAGCCCCCTTCACATATTAGGAAAGCACCATGTCTGTCTGTCAAGTTTGTCAACCTGTAAAAGTTTCTCTTTAACTGGAGAGAAGTATGTGTTTGGGCTATATGTGATGATGCACTGCACCACCTTGCACCCTGCCCCACCCTTTTCAAAATCCTGTATCCACCCATGGTGACTTATACCTGTCTGCAGAGCACACTGGGGCTTTCTCTTGGGTTCATGAAGTTGATTCTGTTGATATTGATGGGGGCTCCCAGATGTCATTCCTGTGTGCTGGGGAGGGGAAGGGGATTCACCTCTCCAAGAGGAGGCAACAGAAGGGAGACTCCTTGCTGAAGAGAAGGGACCTGAACCTTGTTTTTTTTGCAGGAGAGTGGTTATGGGTGATTTTACACAAGCTCTTTCTCTTTATAGCTGCTACATGCCTTGCAGTGCGGCAGCAAGCACGTTGCTTGGAGAGCTCCACAACAGAGACCCATCGTAAGTCTGTCTGAATTTATTAGTATTTTGCCAGCTCCTGGAGGCCAGATAATGAGTCTCATAGAATAACTCAGTAAGGTGGCTTTGTTATCAAAATCTCAGTGTTTTTGCAGTGATGCTTTTTTGGGGTGGTAATGAAGAACATACATATACGTGTACTTTTTTTTAAAGCATGCTAGAGTTGCAGAGTGCCAGCTCTGACTTAGTAACAGCATTTGCATATTTCTCAGTTTTTTTCCTGTAAATTAGTGAGTTTATCATAAAACACTCTTTTTTGTTAACTTGCACTTAAAGCAAAAAAGTCAACCTCTTTCATCCTGTTCCACTGATGAACATAATTAATTCTGTATTTAAGTATCTCTTGAACAGATATCTTGTAGTTTAAAAATATTAGTTAATTTTAAAAGAGAGTTTGGGTGTTGACAAGAAATTGCTCAGATGCTAAACTGTCACAGGGAAAACAGACCCTCCAGGTGACAATAGGAATATATGGTCACTTTATGACTTTACACGGTTGCTGTATGACTCCAGTGGGGGGGAGGGGGACAGAGGAGGATCGCCCCTCTTTAGAATTGCCCTGGATATTGGTGGGAAACATTTTCTAAAGGGTTTAAAACCTACATTCTTTCTCACTTTCATCCTCTTTTGATTTATACTGTACCAACACGTTTGGTCATCCTTGGTGGGATGTGAGCAGTTTCAGATTGGTGGTGAGAGGATATTTTATTGTCTGCCAGCTCATGGCTGAGCACTAGAATAAACTTGCTCTTTTCCCAGAGTCTCTATTTCCTGTCTGTTCTGTGCATCCTGTTAGCTGACACAATCTGGACTCTTATGTTCTTTGTGGGCTTTGTAGTTAACTATTTCATTTTGGCAAGCTGTAAGTGTGGTTTTATAGGGATGGCTTAT